GGGCTGCCGGGGCTGCGGGGCTGCGGCCACGCGGAGGCCAGCTGCCTTGTGGGCACGGGTCGTGGGGGTCTCCCCTCTCGCTTGCAGAACGCGAGCCAACTCCCCAGGGTGGCGCCGCGCGGCTTCAGGGAGTCAGATTTCGCCTTTGCCTCTCCCCGACCTTCGTAGAGCCTGGGAAACCCTGGGGAGCGACCTGGGACCAGGCCTGCACCGGCTGCACCGGCACCCCTTGGGGCTACGCTGACACTTTTCGCTGAGCACAGCTTTCTTAGAACCTAGCTCAGACGAGGCTCACAACCACCCCTTATAAACATCAGGATTCCTGTTGTGCAGATGGGTAAACTGAGGCTCAGACACCTTCAGAGACCGCCCGAGTTCTCCATTCAGATGGGGCGGGACTCCAAAGGGGTGCAGTACACGTGCCCAGCTCTGCCGGCTAATCTGGGGCGCCTTCTGAGGCCTGGGACAAACGCCACGGGGTGGGACACGAAGTCCTGAGCTCCAACCCCTCCGTGTTCTTCCCAGATTTTGCACTGTTGATGCAATTCATTCTTCAATCCCTTCTCCCCTCCACCCGCGTTATCGCTGGTAGAATTTACCAGATGCCAACCCACCCTAAATAAATCCCTTTTCCCAACCCCACCCCACCCCCGCCACCCCGCGAGGATTTTCACAGTCTGCGGGTCTGTTATTTATATCCACTGGAGCGGTCCAAGAATGTTCCGAGGCTGACCTAATCGCCACCTGCTCGGCCCCTGCCCCTCTTGGGCCCAGTGACCCAGCGGCCGTGCCCTGCGCCCAGTGAGCTCCGCTGAGGGCGCCCCCAGGGGGCCGACGGCGCGCCCGGGGGACCGAGTGGCCCCGCTGTCCTCTCTAGCGCCGCCTCCTCCTCTCCGCCCCCACTCCCTGAGGAGTGTGCGTACGTGCGCGCGGATTTTTAAACAGCAGCTTTAAAAATAGCAAAAATTATGTCGTTTCTAAATCTGGAGGAATCGCTGACGCGTTCTTTATGCAAATGAGTCCACTCACCAAAAAAAAAAAAAAAAAAAAAAAAAAAGGGGCCCGCCGGGGGTTCCTTGGGAAGAAAAAGGGGTCCGCCGGGGGTTACTTGGGGTGATGATGTTGGCTGTGAGGGCAGTCCTCGTGGGCGGGCGAAGCCGCCTAGCCAAGATGCCTGCCGGGTACCCCAGACGGGCCACCTTTGCCCTGAGGACTGGGGGAGTTTGGCAGATCACACTGGGCAACACTGGATCTGAGACCTGACGATGTGGCTTCTCAGACCAGTTTCAAGTCTCACTCTCTCTGGGCTCTTGGAGAAGGCCCTTCTCTCCTATCTCCGTTTCTACCTCTATAAAGCAGCTGACCTTCCCCTAGGCCCTGGGCCCCAGCTAATTAATGGCAGAACAGCTGTGAAGGAGAGGCGCTGGGGAACAAGACAGCCCGAGCCCGTTCTGTGTTATTTAGAATCAGTTAACATCCCAGCTAGTGCCTGGGGGCCTTTCCGCACCTAGACACAAAGTGTGAAAACAGGAGGATGAAATTAATGACAGGAGCCGCCTATTAAAACCTCATTAAAAATAAAGTTGACAGCCAGGCTCCGGACTGGGGGAGGCCAGGCCATGGGGAGACTGAAAAGGCTGTTGATCTGACCAGAAAGAGGAGATGTGGAGTGGAAAAACATCTGGCCTCCCTTGGGTTCAAAGGGAAGCAGAGAGCAGAGATGGTAAGAGTTGAGCGTAACTGCCCCTCAGGTGCCATAGGGGAGAAACAAACAAACACAGCTTACTGGGCTGCTGCTAAGGTGGCAGGAGACACTTCTGCCTCCCGGTAAGACGCCTCTGCTCTTTGGCCAGAGCCCCTGAACTCAGGTCGCCATCAGTGTCCCCCCAGCCAGAACAGGATTCAAGACGAGACGCCCAGGGTCAAGAAAGAAATGAGTGGGGCAGCCTGACTCAGAGCACCAGGCAGCATTAGTCTGCGGCCAGTGATCAGTCTCACCTTGAGATTCTGGGCTTCCCTAAATACCCTGGTGCCTTCGTTTGCTTATTGGTTCATTCATTCACCCCTCTGGCCAGCCAAACGTGCGTTTTCACTGGCTGCCGAGCACTTCGCTAGTTGCTGGGGACACTAAGGTAAAAGGCAGAGCCCCACGCGCACAGCAGGGATGCCCCGTGGATTTGGCTATGGGAAAGCAGAGGCAGGAGAAACCACCTTTCACAAGGACAGGACACTTGACTGGTCTTGATGAGTAGGAATTAGTCATGTGGGAAGGCATTCTAGGCGGGAACAGGAGGGTGTTCCAAGCCCTGGGGTGTTTGCAGATGTCTTTGTGACCTGGCAATCCTGCTTTTTGATTTCCACTAGACAAACGTGCGTATGAGTGCAGAAAGAAGTACACAGGACGTTTGTGAATAGTGTAGTCTGCACTAGGGGACGACAGAACGTGTCGTCATCACGCAGGTGACAGCCAAACAACCTCAAGCTCGTTCCTGCTACTGATTACCCTGCAACAACTCAAGAACAAGGTAAAGACAGACTTTTTTTTTGGAGAGGTTTTTGCTATAGGGCGCGCCCACTCACCAGAAAGATAGATACAGAAAGCAAGAAATCACCCCCCAGGGGGGTTGGCCACCCCGCAATCCCTTCTCCTCCATTCTCCTCTCCGGATCTTGGGCATGCACATACACGCACCTGGTGTGAGTTTAAGCCACTGGGCCTGGGACTTGAACCGCTGTCGACCACATGGTAGTCCAACAACATAGCCATTACACTAACTGCCGGTCCCCTGATAGATTTTTTAAAAGTGTATTTCATAAGAGTGAGGGAGAAAGACAAGCACCCTCAATAGGTTGTCACCATGATCCCGGCCAGCCTGCCCGGCCAGCCAGGATTATGAGCACACGCACACCCTGTGTAGACAAGCTGACCAGGAACCAAACCCGTAATCTTCCGTCAGGATCCAACAGTGCTTGAACAGTACAGAAGAGCTGCACCACCAGGCCTGCCCTGGAGGCTTTTTGTTTGTTTTTAGATTTTGCTGTAGGGTGCCTGTGTTTGTCTGAGACAGAAATGGGGGAGGGTAAGAAATCATTGCCCCAGGGGAGAGGGCCCTGCCTCCATCGGCTCCTCTCAGGCAGTTTTGGCACACATGCACAGGCACCAGGCACGTTTTTCAAGCTCAACTTGAACCGAGTGCAGTCATCCATGTGGGATCCAGTTGCCTTAACCTCTACACCACCGGCTGGCCCTGAGTTTTTTGTTTTGTTTCTTTTTTACTTCTTTTTTTTTTTTTTTTGGAGAGGGCTTTGCTATAGCGTGTGTGTGCTCTCCAGAAAGACAAGAGAGACAGAAAGCGAAAAATCACCCCCCAGAGGAAGGATGGCCATGCCACAATCCCTTCTCCTCCATTCTCCTCTTGGGATCTTGGGCACGCACGCACACC